CACGGTGCTGTGTACAAGTCTGAGCGCAGTGTGGCTGTCACTACAAATGTAGATATGTTTGCCATAGTACCCCCTTTCGAGGATACTGTGGGCGCAGGCCCAAATGGCAAACAGCTCCGTCTGAAGAACAAAGGCGGTACCGGTTAGGGTGTAGGACAATTCGGTCCTAGGCCCTCCAGACCAGACCCCTGCTCCCGCATTGGAACCCGCTTTAGCCCCATCTGTATACCAGACGGGCCCTGCGGGTGTCAATAAATGATTTGGGTTCTCTGCCCATGACTGTCTATCTGGGAAGAGGACCTCGTAATTGTACTGGAAATGTTACTCCTTTGGGCACCAATCACCCCCAAGACGGTTGACTTCCTCGAAGTCTTCCGTTCTTGACAGGATCGATGCGTGCCCGTAGGAGGCCCGTCTCCAGCTCCCACTGACTAGCAGCCTAAAGGCTGCGCTTCTGGCTCTTTCCTCCGCCGCATTGTGCGGAGGTAAGATGTTGAGCAGAGCCCCTAGAGCTATGGTCGGGGTAGTGCGCATTGCGCCCGTAATTCCCAGCCCTGTTAGCCTGTAGATCCTGTCTAACGCTTTCCTGTTTTGAGCCCGCTCGACGATGGGCCACCAAACTAGAGAGGCGTACGTCAGTTGAGGGACCAGTATGGCGGTGTAAATCCACCTAAACATCCGTGGTTTTAACCCCCACGTCTTACCAAACATCTTCTTACAGGCCCAGAAGGTATTAATAGCCTTCCTGGCCTGGTTGTCGATGTGGCATTTCCAACTGAGCTTGCTATCTAGCGTCACCCCCAGGTAGCGAACTTCCCGGGAGAACGTCAGCTCAGTTCCAAATATTGAAAAGCCTCTTCCTCGTAAAAAGCACCATCTCAGTCTTATTCGGGTTCACCCTCAAAGACTTCTACGTGCACCAATCCTGAACGATGTCGAGCGCTCTTTGCATCTTGCTCGACAACGTGGCCGGGTGATTGCCGGTGACCGCTATGCAGATGTCATCAGCAAACCCAACCGTTTTAACCGCTAGCTTCCCGAGCCTGCTCAGGAGCCCATCGACAACCATGAGCCACATCAGTGGGGAGGTAACTCTACCCTGAGGGCACCCTCTGCCGACGTGCGCCCTGATGTCCGTCCCGCTGAGACTAGCAGTGATAATACGTGAGCGAAACATGAAGTCCATCCACTGGACGATAGTGTCGTCGATGTGGAAATCCCTCGCTGCTCCGCATATAGCTTCGAAGGAGGTGTTATCAAACACCCCCTCGATGTCTAAGAAGACACATAACGTGGCTTCTTTTCTGTCGAGGGCACCTTCTATCTCGCGAACGAGGCCATGAAGAGCCGTCTTGACAGACTTACCTGCTTGGTAAGCGTGCTGTGATGGCTGCACCGGCAATCTCGCCAGCGCTCCATCCCTTATGAACCTATCAACGAGTCTTTCCAGCTTTTTCAGCAGGAAAGACGTCAAGCTGATAGGCCTAAAAGCCTTGGCTTGGTCATATCTGTCTTCCCGTTTTTGGGATAAAGACTATTTTGACCTCCCTCCATGGCTTAGGTAAGTATCTCATGGCAAGACACGCTCTAAAGACACGGATCAGATGCTTGACTAGCCCATCCCCTCCATTTTGAAGAAGAGCGGGGAAGAGCCCGTCAGCCCCCGGGCTCTTGTACCCGTCGAACGAGTCCAGAGCCCAGCGAATCCTGTCATACGTTACCACTGCAGCAGCAGTGGTCCAGTCACCGAGTCTCGTGGCGCGGAGCTCCCCCTGAGTAAGGGGGTTATTCTCGACCTGGCCGGATCCCGAGAAGTGTACCTCCAATAGGTGGGCAAGGATGTCCTCGTGTTTCTCAAGCTGCTCCCCGTTCGGGAGAGAGAGTCCACCGAGGCTTGGTTGCTGGCCAATAGCGAGGACTCTGCGAAGTTTGGGCACTAGAGGAAGGGCCTCAACTTCAGAGCAGAATTTTCCCCAGGCCTCGCATTTGGATTTCTTGATGAGCTTCTTATAGGCTCTCTGCTCGTTCCTATAATTAGCCCAATCTTCAGAGCCATTTGATTTTAAGGCTCTATTTAGGAGGCGGCGAGAACTCGAGCGCAGTGAGCTCAACTCCTTGCTCCACCATGCCACTCTTGTCCTGCCCCCCCGTGTCCTAAGAGGGCAAGCAGCTTCGAAGGCCTAAGTGATGGAAGAGGAGAGTAGGCTCACCCGTTCCTCAATCAGACCCTCAGTTCTTATCCCTCCGCTTATACCCCCGAGCCTGCCTTCTAGATCCCTCTTGTAGAGAGCCCAGTCAGTGGCCCTTGGGTCTCGGTAGGTCCTGATAACGGGCTGTTCCGTCTCAGTCCTGAGCTTGAAGAGGATGCGGCGGTGATCCGAGAGTGAATCCTCATCGTCCACTCGCCACTCCTCCAGCCACCGAACAACCGGTGCACAGTGTTAAGTCAATCAGCTCTTGTCTCCTTGAGGTGACGAAGGTAGGTCTGGATCCCCTGTTGAGGATCTCCAGATTCGACGACGAGAGGTATTCCAGCAAAGCCGTCTCTCTCATATTTGTATTTGAGCTGCCCCATGCGACGTGGTGCGAGTTAGCGTCGCACCCGATCACAAGGTCCAGCCCTTCTCTGCGGCAGTGTTCCACTACGGCCCTCAGTTCCTCTGTAGGCGGATGTTCGGCCGAGTCGTAGGGGAAGTATGCTGAGCAAACGATTAGGTCGGTCAGCCCACCTCCCAACCTTAACCTAACCGAGGCCACCGCAAGGTCCCTGCTGCAGAATCTGCTTAGCTTCAGGGCGTGATGCCTTTTGGAAACAAAGACACACGCCCTTGGGCCGGGTACGCATGGGTCATAAACCAATGTTCCCATGCTGCGATCGATCCCTTTAACAAGTCCCCCATAGATCCAGGGTTCCTGTATAAGGGATATGTCTGTCTGCTCCACTGCTAGGTTCTGGCTGAGAACACCCGAGGCTGCTATGCAGTGTTGCAGATTGATTTGAGAGAGTTGGAGGCACGCTACCCCCCTAGGTGATGGCGTGTGCGCCCTTCTCCCTCTGTTTTGGTTTAGGGAGAGGGAAGGGGAGGGGGAAGGAAAGGAAGAGGAGGAGGGGATAGGTACTGGAGGGGGTGTGGAATGGGGAAGAGGACAACAGGTCAAGCTACCGGCCATCGTCCTCGATCCCCTGTCTCCCAACTGCCTTCGAGGCCTCTATGGTCCCCTGGGGCGTTGTGGACGGCCCCATTAGGGACCCAGCAATGGTCCGTTGGACACCACGCCGGGTCTCCTCACAGGTGGTCTTGACCAGGGCGATGGCCTTGGATGGTCTACCTCTGGCCCTCGCCCCGCCCTCTGTATTTCCGTCGGACTGAGCCCTTGCCCCGCATCCTTTGCGTCAGTAGGCGCTTGTGACGCGTTGGCAGCTTCCCGCTCCTTCGGCGTCAGCCTGGGGACGGCTTCCTGCGTAGCGGTGGTCCCTGTAGTCGCAGTCGACTCCACCGGACCCCCCCCCTCTGCGCGTCCGCTCCTGGATCNCCTTAACGTTATCATGGGCGTTTTAAGAAGCTACACCGTAGGAAGTATATTGTGGTAAAAGCTGACGTACATTTATATTTATTTCAATATGCTTAAGCGCCAATATTTAAATTTATCTTGTTACAAATGTTTATTTTTCGGCGATTTGCTTTGCTGAAATCTACTCGCTTCCCAAATTTTTTCATGTACGTGTGTCGCGTGTAAGGATCAATTATCAAGTATATATATACATATATGTTTTATTTACGTATGAAATATTTTGTTAAATTCCTAAAATTAATTTTTTTTTAACTACTACTCCTTAATATTTCTTATTAAAATCTTTTAAAAGTATAACTACCAGATTTAAACTTATCGGTGTTCTTTTAGCTGCAAAGTTGTTATTTATATTATGTTTAATAACGGCATTCTTAGACTGAACGAAGTTTATACAATGTTAAATGTCTAAATTATTTCTCATTTTAATTTCTCTCATTTTCCCCTAATCATAGCTTTTCATATAGACCAGATGACTTTATTTTTTATATATCTGTTTAACAATATAAAATATGCCACTAACCAAAGACAAAAAGTTTGAAATTAAGGAGAAAAACACGATATGAAAGATTCTAAAGAGTACAACGGAACGTGTTTGTGCATTTAGTGCACACCAGTAGGCGTTATTAAATGTGCAGAATAATATCTCTAATGTATTTAATAATGGAACTAGTGTGTTAAAAATAATGAAAACGATCATCGTAAGTCATTAAATAGCTTTCAATCAATATATTTCTTTCTTAATCCCTTTTACTCATACTACACAAGCATAATCTCAATAGATCATTTTTGTAACATTATTTTTATTTTCTATTCAGATGATTCGCAATTGGATATTGTGAATTGTGATTATCG